TTTGATGTTTACTCCAACAATCCCCATTAACCCCCCAGACAAAATGACTAAAAACGTTCTTTTTATCTAAAACTTATTTTTAATTCTTTTTCAATTAATTTTATTGTAAATAATTTGTTATGTTTAGCTAATATCATAAAACTAGTAACTCTTATCAGCTTTTCTGTTTCAGTGTTTAGGTTTTTTTAACATTAACATAAATGTTAATGTTAAAAAAACCTAAACATTACAACAAAAAACAACAAAACCCACAACATATTTTTTCAAATTTGAAAAAATATGTTTCATATATTTTAAATAATTTATTTACTGAAATGATTGTAAATTTAAAAAATATCTGTTGTTGATGTTATTTACTGAGAGTATTAATTGCATCATAGACTTTGAATCATACATAACAGAAATTTAGAAAAACTCTTTACTTTGTATTTGGTTTAGTTATTGCTTAAAAATGTATAACTTTAAAGTTTGGACAAGCGATAGAGTTTAGAAAAAGTTTTTTATTGCTGACAATTTATTGAGCTTAAAGACAAAAGGTTGTTTTTATATTTACAATACTTTTATATTTAATAAAGATTATGAAAGTTTATTGATTTATGTAATAATATAAGTATTGATGTTTTTTTACAGCACAAAAAAAGTTCAACTTGATCAACCCTGTTGTGATAGTTTTGAATTCTGATGGCACAGAAATAGATGACGATGAGGTGCTATTGCACTGTGTAAATGAAGTGTTGATTGTTCTAGGGTCCGAACAATTTTGGACTCATGAAATCCATGTCACTCCAAAGTCTGAGCAACAAGGGAGTTCTAATTCAATAGGTTACTAATTTTATGAGCTTACTAAGAGTTTTAAACATTTGTATGTATAACATTTTTCTAAGTTATTTGGTCATTTTTTAGTTGATAATATTCTTTTAAATAAAATGAAGCATGTTATGTTTAGTAATTCTGTTGTTTTAGATTTTTTTACAAATTCTGAATTTGCACCTCAACCTTCTGCAGTTAAATCTGCCAATAGTTTAACACCAGGGCTTGACTTTAAATCAACTTATGAACCATCAATTGCAACTATTCAAACTTCTCAGACGAATGAGAATACCCTGCGTGTGTTTCCTTTTGTGTATAGCATTCCTGTTCTTCCCCAACACATTTCTGTAGCCCTACAAAAGGCAAAGAACAAGGCTTCATTAGAGCCATTTGCAGAGCATTCTCTTGTGAGAATATTATTTGAAGATCTTATACTTATACAAGATATTATAAGATCTGTAAGTTTTTAAATTTTCTTTTGTTATCTAGGTAAATCGTCATCATTATTAGCATCATTTTTGTTTTTGGCCCAGGTGCACTTTTTACAGGCATTTTAATTAGTATTTTCAAAGGACACATGTCACAGAATAGTCAGGCCTTGTTTTAAGCATTAAGCGTAAAGCTATTTACGTATGCGTTAAGCGATTTTAAGCTGTAAGTGATTTGGATAAGCAACTTTTTGAAAATGTTGTTAAAATAATAATAATAAAAAATTGCTTACTGCTTAAAATCGCTTAACACATACAGAAATAGCTCTACGCTTAATGCTTAAAACAAGGCCTGAATAGTGTGTAATAGCGTTAAGAGAACTAGATTCCTCCTGTATAAAATCTATATGAATGAATTAAACTGTTTTGAAACTGTTAACACAAATATTTTATTTATAGTTACTTAGGCATATAAAGGCAAAGCCAAAATGGGGCCTGATGATAAGACACTAATATATTTTTCTTGCTCCAGCATTTGTTTTATTATTTTATGTTATTTTATCAATTGTAACTTTCTACAACAAGATTATAAATAAATAAATATATATAATTAAAGTTTTTATTTAGTATATCATAATCAATACAATGTTTTTTAGCTACCCATCATCTGTGATGTACAATAGTGTATGTTCTGCTATTGTGCGAGCATATCCAAATCTATGTGACAGTGTCATAGTTATGAAAGGCAAATCCTCTAAGTTATATGTGAGTATTTAATTAAATAGTCTTGTTAAGTCTGATTTTTGAAATAAATGTTCTGCAAAAAAATGGTATAAAAAGTATAATGCTTGTTACAAATATTTATGGTGTAAAACTGTATAATTTTTTTAAATTTATTTCAAAGTTTACATAATTCAATTATGTATTTAGATTAGTAAAAATGTGTATGTTAATGTTCTTTATTTTAGGCCACTTGGTTGGATAGTCTAAGAACTAAATTTAAATCAGAACGTTCTAAATATTCGAATGATGAGTCTGTTAAAGCTCATAAAAAGTTTGCGTCCTAAAGGATTCACAGTCAGTTGACTGATACTAATGAAACTGTGAAGATAACTAGATGTGAGGTATGGTAATTTAATTTTATACCAGGATAGTGTCAACCCAAATTTGATTGACTCTTTATTGCAATAAATAACTGTAATAGCTATTTACTTTTAAGGTAGTATTCAATGAAAGGTAATATTTAAGTATTATTTTAATAAATAATTTTAATTTTTTGTATTCTGATTTATAAAGTTGCAGGTTGCAAATGACTGTTTAGAAGACCCTTCAAGTGTAGAGCAGCATGTAACATTAATGTTAAAGGAGTACAGTAAAAATAATCCTGACACGATTATTATATCTGATAGAATGAGCCGGACTTATGTATCAAGACGAATTTTTATTAAAACCAACACTACACAAGTCATATTGCAAAGGTTTCCTTGTTTAGCAATGGAAATTGAGGTTATTTTTGTGTTTTCAATAAATGAACTATAAATATTTATTGCTGTTTGTTTATTGACTACTTTTTCATTTTTTGCAAACCTTTTGCATAATTCCTAATTATTATTATAATTATTGCAATTAATATTAGTCACAAATATTTTTACTATAAATAATAAACTATTATTAATGCTATCTCATTTTAGTTGTTTGAAGAAGCAATGCGAATCATTGGATTAGATTTGAAAATTAAGATAACAAAGTTTTTTCAAAATCGTTCAGAAAAAATTCTGGAAATTTGCAAATCAAAGTTGCCTTCAATAAAAAAAACACCATTTTTGCAAACCGTCAATATTTTATTAAATGGTGTTAGTGCATCATCAAATGTTGATATTGAAGGTATATAACAAATATATAATATAACTTTTTTATAGTCTTTGCACCTATTATCGTATACATATATAATTGCAGGTCAGAAAATATCGGCTGCTTTGCTTCTTTTACCAGTTGTATTTGGTGAAGCCATTGATTGCTGCATTTCTATAAATAAGGTTGTATATCAAGTTTGTAGTCTTTATTATTACTAACGATTTTGATATTAATAATCATTAATTATATTAGTACTTAGTAATTAATACATTTTTGTAATTACAGAATCCACAAGTTTCCACTCCATCAATAACCATCAGATGTGCAGGCGAAACAAATATTTTTAATGTTGATGATGCCGAAATAAACGTAATGCTTGACGGCATAGTGATAGTTAAATCCAAGATGGTATCAAGTGCGGTTACAAGTTTGGTTGCAGCCTACTGAGTCTATGAAATTGCATTTGACACAAAACTTAAAAAAACATTAGATTTCGTAGCAAGCCATGTTTGTGGCGCAAATAACTACATAGCAACACCATTCAGTCAAAGAATTTTGAACAAACTTTTGTAATAATAGACTATTTCTATAAAAATATAACTTTAAAAAATCGAATTTGTACCTCAATAAATACAATTAAATTAATTAAACTTTTAAGAAATATAGCTTGAGCTATTAATACTTTTAACTGAACATACTTTTAACGATTGCGCAATTAAATTAAAGCGGCAATGTAAATTTGCAAGATAATTAAATATAAATAATTCTACCCAAAATAAAAGGTAGATTTTAAATCTTGGGCAGATTATTATACCCTTGTTAAGGGTATATTTTAACACCCGAAAAGTTAGGGTATATTTTTCTACCCATAGGGTCGGATATACGAAGTACCCATGAAGGTAGACAATTCTACCCTAAATCTAGGGTAGATTTTAAATCTTGGGTCGATTATTATACCCTTGTTAAGGGTATATTTTAACACCCGAAAAGTTAAGGTATATTTTTCTACCCATAGGGTTGGATATACGTTGTACCTCTACGGGTAGAAATTTCTACCTTTTTTTCTTAGTGTGTACAGGTAATACTTATCAGAAAACTACAGGTAATACTTATCAGAACACAATTAAAATGACTGTTTTTACTCTAAAACCTTTTTTTTCCAGGTGTGTTGTCTTTATTATAGCTAAAAAATCTCACTTATTCAAAAAGTTTTTAATATTAACTTTTTTTTTAATCTTGAAATAACATTGTAATAAAAATTAACATCATAAAATATGTATTACATTAGAATAACTAATACAAAAAGTCTGTATCCTTTCGATTCAATTTAATAGAACTGTTTAATGTCAAGCTAATGAAGCTTTCTTCAACTTCTGCTTTTTTTATTTATCTCTCTTATCTCTCTTTTTTTTTTTTACCTCTTTTATCTATCAAGACTATTTTATTCAACTCTCATATCTCTCTTCACTTTATCTCTTTTTTTTATCATCTTATTTTTATTTATCTCCTATCTCTCTTTTCTTTATCTCACTTATCTATCATATCTTTTTATTCATCTTTCATATTTCTTGTTACTATTTATTCATCAACAGAAATCTGATAAACAAAATAATAAAAAGAATTTAAAAAATAATAAAAACAAATTAACAAACCCTATGGAAACTTTCATTTGTTTTGATAACCAAAGTACTTGATATTAAATACAATTCATTTCAAAAAATAATATTCACTCCATCCATTTGGTTAAGTCCTTCTCCATCAACACCAAGAACAGTAAACATTGTTACATTCCAATTTTTTAGTCTTGTATAATACCTAAAAAATTATAGTTTCCAAAAAAAAAAAAAGGATTATTTATATGGTAAGTAAAAAATTTTACTGAGTAAAAATTGAATTAGTTTATTATTTTATGAAGACAATGGAAACTTGAGATCATTGGTTTTGCATGCAGAGAATTTATTTAGATATACACTAAGTATGGTTTAGGAAGAATAATGTGGGGTAATTATTATTTTCAACTTTTTTGCTCTTGAATTGTAGCTTCAATTGGGTTTTTTTTAAATATTTGTGCAAAGTATTTTTTTAATGCTTTCTTTTTATGTCATTTTTATAACTTTATTTAAGTTAAATGGAAAAACTAAAACATTTTTTGGAAAATGTTACATGTTGCCAACAAAATACAAACAAAATTAAAAACATTTTAATACAACCACTGAAAAAAAAAAAGATAAAAATGATTGATATTTCTTCAATACCATTAATATACTCTTACATATAAAACCCTAACACAACACATTTCCAGATAATACTACAGGTAATACTTATCAGAACACAATTAAAATGACTGTTTTTACCCTAAAACCTTTTTTTCCAGGTGTGTTGTCTTTATTATAGCTAAGAATCTCACTTATTCAAAAAGGTTTCCTCTGTATTTAAATTTTTTTTTTTTTTAACTTGCAATAACATTGAAATAAAAATTAACTTGAATAATTTCTATACTAAGTAAAAATTATTTACAATAATTCTTATTATTTTATGAAGACATAATAGAATCTTGAAGATCATTGGTTTTGCATGCAGAGAATTTATTTAGAGATATACACTTAGTATGATTTAGGAAGAATAATAAATACTAAATAAAAGTCTATATATTTTTTATTGAATTATAGTTAAAACGAAATTTTAGAATTGTTAGAAACAACTATTATGATTGTCTCATTCTATTTTCGATGAAACAGACTTTTTGATAAACAGCGAATAACACTTATAACTTATGAGTATAATGTAACCTTATCAAGCCTTAATACTTTACAGCGAATAATACTTTAGAGTACCATGTAACCTTATAAAACCTTACACATGCAGACACAGTGTTGAATGGCAATAGCCTTATTTTAGTAGAGAAAAACCTGGACTCACTCAAAAGAGTCTGCCAAAATGAAAAATCATTCACATAAATTAAATTTTAATTTATTGACCTGGTTTGAATAGTAAATATTATTTGTACATTAAAAGCAAAGTATCCTTCAAATTAAATGAGAGCGTTATTTCATTGGAAAGAAAGTATTTTTTTGAGTTACTCGTGAATCGTACTTTTGAAGCAGGATTTTGACTAAAACTTTATTTAAAAAAAATCTTATCACAAGAACCGGTTATAAATAATTTTCCGATTTTATTTCTATAAAACATCTATAAAACATCTTTAAAAAGTTTTCAATTACACTGCTGACCAGATACTCTTTACAGATACAGATTTTTTGTAGGAGTAAATAGTGCAGAAAATTTTGATCGCTACATTTCTGTTATAATCAAAACTTTTTGATAGTGATAAGAGAGCAAATGATTTTAACGATGCTAACTAAATCTATATTATCGTTGAAATAATATCGAACCAAAACAATAAAAACAAATATTCACCACTTCTGCTGTCTTAAATATATCGAGCAGCTGTAAAGAGAGATTTCGATAAAACTTTATGAATAAATCATTAAAATTATATTTAATTTGTTTAATCGTAGAATTTAATAGAACATTTTTTTAAAAATCACAAGAACCAGTTAAATGGTTTTCTAATTTAATTAAATATCTTTAAAACATCTTTAAAATCATTTTAAAGATGTTTTAAAGATATTTTTTTTGTAGGAGTGCACAGTGCAGAAAATTTTGATTACCACTTTTCCATTGTAATCAAAATTTTTTAATAGTGTTAAAAATGCAAGTGATTTTAACAATTATTATTGAAATAACAAAAATGATAAAAACAAATGTTCACCACTTCAGGTGTATCTTATATATATCAAGCAGCCATAAAGAGAAATTTCAATAAAACTTTATGAACAAATCATCTATCACAATTATATTCATTTTATTTTATAGTAGAAATTTGAAATATTTTATATAACGGTTCTTGTTTTTTAAATAATGCTTGTTTACTTGAATTTTAGTTGTTTTAATATCTTTTTTTCTTATGCGTCATTTAATTATATATATAGATATACTGTTTTAGGAAAATTTTATATTTATAAAGAAAACTAATTCTGCAGATATTCAAGAAGCCATAAGTTTTGAATCTTTTTTTTTAAATTTAAAAAAAAGTTTTTTTAAAAATAAATGCAAAATATCTGGCTATATAAATAAAGTTGGCCATAAAGATAAAGATTATAAAGTTCTTATTGTTTTCTCCATAACTCCATAAAATACCAACGTTAAACTATTAATCCGCTGGATTAAAAAAAAAATCACCTCAACTTAGATTAAAATACTATAAAGCTAAAACATTGCACAAGTAAACATAAACATAAGATACTTCACCAAAAAAAAAGCCCTACCAATTGAAGCATCAGATGGTGTACTTTTAGGCCTAATTAAAAACAAGTAATAATTTTTATAGTCAAATTTTTTTTTTTTTTAAATATACTTTTCATAAATGTTTGGAAAGATAATTTATTACTGATTTTTATTTCTATAAGAATTATGGGTCGGAAATGAAAAATTAATAAGATATGCTTGATACTTTATAGCAAAATATTATAGATTCAATGAATTTTAAGATACTCATGGGAATTAAAATATCTGATATTACATGCTAAGTTAATCATGGATGTTGCTAAGGTTTATTTGTTTATTAAAAGATTTAGTGAACAATTTTAAATAATAGTTGAAAGTTATATAATGTTTGAAAGTTGAAAGTTATATAATGTTTTAGTAATTTATGTTTATTCAAGGTGTAAACCTATATTTAATTATTATTCTACTCGTTATAAACATGGTTTTAGTTTACAAGATCAATAGGGTTATATCTTTTGGTAACAATTACTCGATTATATAGTCATATAGTCAGTTTTCTGCATTTTTGTAGATACAAATATATTGATTTATTTTTAGATGGCTCAAATTGTCTTTGAAGGAAAGTGTTCAATATGCAAAGAACCGTTTATTATTAAGGAAACACTTAGTAAAAAGTCACCTGTCATTTTCAAGTTAAAGAGATTAAAAATACTAATAAAGTTCAGCAAAAAAAGAGAAATGGAAGGTACAACTGCGTTCTTTAATTCTATAAAAAATCAGAAAATAAAATGATAGGTAGAGTTGTAATTCATCATAGCTGTAGAAGAACATCTGTGGATCATAGAACTCTGCACACAAAAAAACAATCTAAATTGTTAAGATTTTTGGGGTCATCTATTCTTGGAAACTCTTTTGACTGGAAAAAAGATTGTTTTCTTTGCGAAAAAAACGATTACAATATAAGACACCCTGTTATTGAAGTAACAACTTTAGTGATTCATGAACAACTTATTAAGCGCTGTTTAGAAAGAAAGGATGTGTGGGGAAAACAGTAATTAGATGTCTAGAAAGTTACATCGATCTTTTCGCGGTAAATGTTGTCTACAATAACAAATGTATGACAAAGCTTAGACTGTATGTGAAAATATGAAAGAAAGAACCCTTGATCTATCTATGCCAGAATCATTTAAAAATGTTTGTAATTGGTAAGAAGAGGAAGCAGATAGAGAGTTGTGCACATTAAAGGAGCTTCATGATAAAACTTATCAACTTAACGGAAGTGATGAAAATATATATTCAATCTAATGGCTTTTATAGAAACTAAAAGATCATTATAGTAACTATATATTCTTCGCTGAGTTGAGAGGTTGAAAGTTGAAATTAGATGTTGCCTATGCTTAAAAAAAAGAAAGATGCAAAGCAAGTAGCATTAATCCTTAACTCATTCAAATTAAGTATGAATGAGTTGAAAATGAGAAAAAAAAAAAAAAAAACAAGAGGTAAGTAATTAAAAGTATATAGCAAGCTGAAACCTCCATATATTAACAAAGAAAAAAAATCAGAATACACATCAAAAATTCAGAATATACTACTTCATACTAACTTATCTATATTAGTTCAAAAATAATCTCATGAATAGAAATTGTGATTACATTTCTACTTAAAGCAAGATTATTAAAATTATCAAGTTCTTGAATAAGGTGTCCACGGGGCTGTCATGCTTCTTACCAGCTTTTACAAAAAATAAAACTTAGCAATAATTCTGGAAATCAGTATTTGTTTCATAGTTCCAATAAATCTTTCTTTTGCAAGTGTTTGTTTTTGTGTGTGTGTGTGTGCGCATGTCTATATAAATAAAACTTAAAAAAACTGGCCATGAATTATGTGAAATAATTGTAACAATTGACTAAAAAAGACTTTACATCAATCAACTGGTTATCCTCAATCAGCCACTGCACATGTATTTCTAATTCAATAACCAAATCTTTTGAATCAAAACCTCACTTAAACTATAAGTATCACATAACATAAGTGATGTAATACACGTAGACTGTTTTTAAATCTTTTATTCCCAACAAATACATTTGAATTTTTGATTTTTTCTTAAAAAAATTGATTTTCAATTAGTGTAATTGTTAAATTGAAAACTGAAAATTGCGAAAAGAATGTTGTACAAGGAGAAACACACAACCGTTGTCAACAACAAACAACAACCCTGTCAAAAAAGATGTCTTTGTTCAAAGTTCTAAATTTTATTTCTAAATATGGTCAGCCATATTTAACCACATTTTTATCCTTTGACTTGGAAAGATAAAAAATATGTTTAGTTTTTGAAAACTTAACATCTTAATAAATAATCCTTAATTAAAAACATTTAATTATAAATACTTAATTAAAAACATTTAATTTTCTTGTAAGAATCCAATACTTTTTTCAGAAAGTGATTTGACTTATCAGTAAAATAATTTGATAGATTTCATTTGAAGGTCTTCTGGTAACTCTCTTGTTTTTAAATTTTTTGATTTGATCTTAATGGGCATGAATTTATATATGCAAAAATTTATATATATATATATATATATATATATATATATATATATATATATATATATATATATATATATATATATATATATATATATATATATATATACAAAAAAAATTAACAAATAGACAGAAAATAATTTGAAAAATTTACCATTTTTTGTGAGGGCTTTAGAACGCTCAATACTAAAAAAAAACATTATTAAACATTTAAATAAAACAAAACAAAAAAAACTATAACTCTAAAAACATTAAAAGTTAAGTAAAGAAAAATAATAAAAAAAAAATAGAAACAAAAAATTGAAATTAATAAAAAGATTGAAATAAATAATAGAAATGTAAAATGTATATATTCTAAAAAAAAAGTACTTTAGCTTAACTAGTTTTTTAAACCTTTTTTTATTTATTATTTTTACATATATTATATTACTATTTTATATTTTTATATAATATTAATTTTATTTCTCTTCTTAGTATATTTCCCATCAATAATCAAAATAAGTATGTGTTATTTTTTATAATAGGACTTATTTCGAAAAAGCAGCTGCACAAGACATAAACTTGACTTGTGTCTTATATACTTTATTTTAGACAAAAACTTATTTAAGAATTTGAAGTGTAATCCCAAGACTTATCTTATATTTATCCTTTCAATTTCAAAATTTTTTTTTTTAATTTTAACTCACCTCCTTAAGGCTGAGAAGGCCACTACAGTCAAGGAGACTACTTTAGTTGTAGTTACAACTATCTCTCAACCCTATAACTCTGAAACACAAACCATGACAAACAAGTAAACAAAGAAAAGTTCTATGAGACAAAGGATTATTTAACAAAAAACTAAAACTAATTGAATTTTTTTTTTTTTAACTCAGTTGATGAAAAATTCAACCAATAAGGTTGATTTATAACAAGAAATTTGATTATAAAATTCCATGACTCTTCATAAACTTTTATGATAAGTCATTTGAGTAAAATATTCAGTACTTGGCATGCACTAAGCATTTGCAACTTAATCATTACAAACATGCAAACCAAAAACTAATTGGTAGAAAGTTTTTAGATCATGTCTGAAAAAAACTCTTTTTCTTAGACTAGATTACTTAGACTAGACATACTAGTACTTTTCTTTGCATCTAAAAATATTCAAGTAGAAAAAAATAAAGATCATTTTAAAAAGAATTTTCCATGAATTTCAATAAAAATTTTGGAATTCCATGACTTTTTCCATGATCAAATAAAATTTCATGACTTTTTCCATGATCAAATAAAATTTCATGACTTTTTCCATGATCAAATAAAATTCCATGATTTCCATAGCCAGTGGCCACACTGCACAGAGCAGATTGAGAAGAAAACTAAAAACTAAAATCATCTAAACGTATTTGCTTAAACTTTGTCCAATTATTTTGAATAAACTCCATTAAGCAAAAACAATTTTCATTTCAAAAACTTTTTCACACTTTAGGAGGATTCCATTGCACTGCTAATATTATATAAGGGGTAATAATTGAATCTTTTGATATTGTGAAAACATTTTTTGCAATATTTAAAAAAAAAAAAATTTCAAACTCAAAGAAAAGACTATAAAGCTCAATAAAATTATAAAAAAATGTTTTTATAGTTTTATTGATTATTTGGATTAAAACTCAGTTCTCAAGGACTTTACTCTCTATTCAGATAATAGAATAATACTTTGCATAATGCAAAGATAATTTTATATAAATTAAAAAAAAAAAATTTCCAGGATTGCATTTAATTAGTTATTCAACAAAAATTTATATATATATATATATATATATATATATATATATATATATATATATATATATATATATATATATATATATATATATATATATATATATATATATATATATATACATATATATATATATATATATATATATATATATATATATATATATATATATATATATATATATATATATATATATATATATATATGAATTACTATCTAAAATGTTTAGCATGTAATGGTCAATATACTTACACTAAAAAAACAAACAATTTAAGAAATCTGACAAATGGCCACATCTCCTTTTGCAGAACTGGCCAATCAATGGACAGATTCAACAAATATGTTTTATGAATAAATGATAAAACTATATAACCTATTTTCCAGTTTTTTTTTTCTTTCTGGAACTTAAAAATGAAATTATGGTCTTATGAAAATCATTTACACAAACAAAATACTTCTAACTAACACTTCCTATTTAAAAAGACAATGCTATTTCCTAGCAACATAATCTCAATTTCCTTTTTACAAAACTAAAAAAAAAATTTTATAGGGACTTTTTTGTATAACAGCTGGTATCATATACCATAAAAATGCCTAAGTTTGGTCACTTGAGCTTCGAACATTCATTTATCACACATAAATACTGCAATCAACAATTCCATTACAACAAGTAAATACTGCAATCAACAATTCCATTACAACAGCTGCCCAACTAGTTAGCTCAAAACATTTTTTAAGTTTCTTAATAGCAGCTGATTTCAACTATTCAGATATATTATGGGACAATAATGGAGGAACAATCTGTTCACGACAATCTAGTATAGAATTTTTAGCCATTCTTAATTTAAACTTTTTAGTAGAACCAGTGCTAGAAATTACCCTAAACATCATTGATATAGTTATTACAAATGACCCAAACAAGATCTATTAATGATACAATTAACATTAACATTAATGATCCAATATTTCAGTCCAAAAAAAAATTCCCTCCACTCAACACTTGAGACTTTTACCTAAACTCGCACACTATACAAAAAAATTAAAAATGTTATCAAAATTTTCCAAAAAGGTACTTTTGAGTACACAATGAATTCAATAAATTTAAAATATAACTATAACATTCAACAGCATCAACTGGTTTAAACTATTTAATAATCAAGACAATAATCAAAATGATAAACAGTCAACTAAAAATTTATAAAAATCTAATCCATATTCATATACCAAAAATCTGTTCTAAAAATAATTCTATTAAATGGCACAAAAAAGATATCAAAAATGCAGCTAATCAAAAAATAAATATTTCCTAATGAAGTCAGCTTCAAAATCATCTGACCATAAAAAAAACTTTTAACAGATTACAATAGAAAAGCAAGAGAATTAAAAATTAATAAAAAATGCTTGTATTAAACATGAAAAATCAATAATCAATAAATACAAATTAAACCCAAAATTACAATACAGCGATATAAATTATCAAAAATCATATAAAAGTAAAATTATCTCATTAATTAATGCCGACGACATAAATTTAACAAAAAAATAACATAGCTTGTCTAACTAAACATAGATTGTCTAAATAAACAATTTTACAAGTCATTTAGCAAACCATCTGATCAAGAAAATCTATTCTTACCACTTAGATTATTATTCATCAAAGCATACAACCACAACTATAGAAGTACACCACAACCATTACAACTATAGAAATAAATAAATTACATTGATTCCAAAAAAGAGAAGAAAATGATCCAACAAATAATCAACCTATCTCATCATAAGTTATTAGTAAAGTAATATAAAAACTTATAAAAGATGACATAACAAATTAATTAAACTTACATAACTTAAATAGGGGTGACAGGATTAGTATTGAAAAATGAACTTCAGAATAGCGGCGAATATATTAAAAATGATTAATGTCGCAAAAAAAAAGGAACAGTGTCGCATATCAACCTTATGAATAGTGTCAAAAAAATAGAATAGGGTCTCTTGAACTGTTACTGTACCCATGACTGAATCCAGTTTTAGAAGATTTCCTAAACACAAAATATTTAGTTTTTATTTACTAAACACAAAACATTAACTTTCTTTTTAATTTTTAGAATTAAAAAACAAAATAAATTTTATTTTTTTAACTCTTTCATTTAAAAAAGTTTAAAAAAGAAAAAGAAAACTTACCACTGCTGAAAACACCACTCACCCAGTTGCTCTGTCAATATTTAACTTTAGATCAATCAGAAGCGCTCTGCTGTTGATCAAGTGTTGGATCTAGCATTAACTGCATTCCAAATAAATATAAATCATTGGTATAGCTAATAAAAACAATTGACATAAAGCTGTCTTTACTTATTGTATAAGATGGACCAGCAAGAGATTGAATATAAAGTGCAATGCTGTCACCTGCATTAACTAATACCAAACCAGACACAACTAATGAGTAAAAATCACTATTTAAAAGACCAAAAAAAGTATAGTATACAAACTAAATAATAAAGCATTATAATTTACTAAAACCTAATATAGAAGACATGAGAACTTACTAAAAACTAAATAGTAAAACATAATTTACTAAAAACTGATAAAATAAAATTCTTAGTACCTATTTGTAACAGGGTCATTCCATGTAAAACTGGGACAGTCATTTCAGTCACCTCTTGGATTTTCTTTAAATTTTACCAGGTGATACATTATAATGAAACATGAAAAAATGCAAAATTTGAGCTCCCAAGTCCAAATGGTTCAAAAGTTATGACGTTTTGAAATTCAGCCTAAAACGTTCCTTTTTTTGGCAAGTCCGCCATTATGGATTTTGTAGTTGTACTTTTTAATGAATAATTTAAAATCTAGTGGAGGAATGTGGCTAAAAATGAGTACCTGACTATTTTTGTGGGGGCTGAATTCAAAAATGTAAAGCAAATAGTGAAATTTAAATTTTATGATAGTTATTTTTTGATTTTAAAATGGTCAGTCCAACTTTTTGTTCTGTTACCATGAGTTGCGCTTTCATCAACTCCCGGAGTTGCCCAAGTCTTGTGGATTCAATTTTTTTTTCAAACAAAGTAGGTTATACTAGGCTATTTTTATAAAAAAGATGGTTTTGGTTTCTTCAAGAATTATTAAGATATGTCATTTTGAAATTAAGACAAAAAAAATCATTTTTTAGCCTCTATTCTCCATTATAGATTTTATAGCGATACTTTTTGTGTAAATAATTAAAGTTTTAGTGGAGAAATATGACTGAAAATTGGTACCTGGCCAATTTTAAAAGTATTGAATACAAAGATAAAGATAAATGAACCCTATTCCTAGTATTTGAGAATAATTTTTCAATTTTAAAATATCAACAGTTAAATTTTTTTATTTCTTAACCATGGTTTACCTTTCCTTATTTCTGGAGTTGCCTTGCTCTTAATGTGAAATAAGAGGTCTTAAAAAAGTTTAGGTTTCTAAAAGAAAATCAAAAAATTATAATGCTTTGCATAACTTGCATATTTATAATCAATATTTTCAAAAGTATACATGGAAATGTAATTTACTATACAACACATTGAAAATATAATTTCTTTATTTATTAATTATAATAATTTAACGTAACATTATTACTTTTTGTCTAATAATAGGGTATTGTTGTGTTAAAAAATAAGAAACTAAAATGCAAACCTTTTTAAAAAACAGTAAAAAATCTGCTTTATTGAAAAAAGCTCAAAAATCAAAAGGAAATGGAATAAACCAAATATGACTAAAATTGAAGTTTATATAATTTAAATAATGAAAGTAAAATATTCATCAACTTTCATTGACAAGATAAAAGATGTTCAAAATGAGTTTTGTCTTCTTTTGTGAAATGGTACTAACGCCCAGAAGATGTTGATGGTGTTTTAACAAGAGAAATGACATTATTTCTTGGCACCCAGCAATTATCATCCCACTTTGGCCAGTAGTACGACCGACTTGGATAATTTGGATGCATAAACTTTACCATAAAATCGTCATTCTCTTATCAACTTCAGAAACCATTCCAAGCCAGTAAAAATCGTCGTATTTGCAAAATAGGTATTGTGACATCATAACATTCTTAATTTTATTATTTTTGTATTTTTGTTTATTGAGGAAGTCAAATGTTAGAGCAAAATCATCATCATCGGATACCCTTTTCATTTTTATAATTGAATGAGAAGAAGATATAAATTGATGGAAACTTCTTGTCCCAGGAATAGTGGTTGCTATTAATAGTCTATCAGCAAGTTTGATTCTTACTAGCTCCATTTCTTTAGCAGTGACGTACACAAACGTAATCTCACTGATTGACTGATTGGCAGTATTCAAACATTGCTTGGGAAGATAGTATTTGACCTGTTGTTGGACTCTGCAAGCTAGCAGTTGAAAAAAGCCTTTTAACAGTGCCACCTATTCCATCACATGAAGATTTGCCATGGTTTGTTGCAAAGAAATTCCAGATGCACTGAACAGAAAAATCTTGAGATTTTTACAATTTACGTCATGGTGACATAAATTGTAAAAATGTTTGCAGTTTTTATACTGCCTGCACAGCCATCAGAAAAATAATGAATTTTTGTAATTGCGGGGCAAAGATGAGTTTTTATATGATTAATGATTTTATGCATAACTTTATTGATAAATCCAACATCATGACTAAAATCATCTAAAATTACACAAAAAGAAGATATTTCCAATTTCACTTTTTTGTAGTAGATGACAACTGGATGAAGAGAACATTGACTCTTGCTCCAATTATAACTCTGTATCTCGTCTTGTACTACAAAAGTGTAATTCTCTGCAAAATCTGCCAGTATAATAGCCTCATCAATACTAATAATTGTTTCTTTGAGATGCTTTAGATAGCTAGATTGTAATTTTGCTATAAATGAATGAGAAGTAATTTTATCAAGTTTTTCACACAGGAGCTTTATGAATTCATTTAATGGAAGTTGTATTGTTAATAGTTCAGTTCTATCTGTCGTTGTCCACTGTTTGAAATTCACTGACTGTTCATTTTCGGCACTGTCATATTGCTCTTTTGGATCATAATTTTGTGTGAGATAATGATGGAAATATACTTGGGCAGCTTGTATGCCAGGACAACTATTGCATCAGAAAATCATGCAAACTTTGGATTTTCTGCTGCAAACAATCTTTTCAATGATTTCATGGTAAGATGTTTCAAGGACTACAGCACTCAACATTAATTTAACATTTTGGTATATTGTACACACTCAAACAGAATGTGTACCTTTTGGACCAGCAAGGATGCACCATTTAGGTCTAAGACTGCAAAATTTAGAAAATTCAATTTTATGGTCTGGGTACTTAATCTTATATGCCACATAGAGCTCCTTTAGATTACACATAATCAATTTTTTTGACATGTATTTTTTTTTTCCCAACACTTATACAGTCTTTTTAACCTGGCATTTGCCTTGAATACTCATCGTAACAGTAAAAAAGCTTTACAAGTTCTATGACATCTTTACTGATTCGATGCCGTTCAACCATATTGGGGTATGCAATGATACCTTTTTGATCACGTAAAAGCTTTGCATTTTGAATTTTGTGTTTGGAAACTGAAAATTATTTTGCTGCTTTTCTGATAGACCAAAATTTCGGTGTCAATGTCAAAATTTGAAGTTGCTGTCTTCTGTTAGAAACTTCAAGTTTTTCTTTCATGCATTCAACAAGGAAGTCTAGATCGCCAGCTTTGGTTTCAATTTTCTTTAGAACTTCATAGTTATTAGGTGCAACAAGATTGGATTCGGTGACATCCAGAGCAGTTGCAAGTTTCTTAATAACTGCTTCTTTAACTTGCTTTATCTTTCTCTTTCCAAGTGAAGGCTTGTTAGAGGTTTTTGGTAAATGAACTTTTAGCGGAGACACTTTAAGTTCACATAAATTACTGTTGAGCAATGATCTTGCTGATTCCAGTATAATTTATTTTTCCATATTATCTTCAGTTAATTTTCTTCTGATTCTTTTGTAACTCACAAAATTTTCACAAAATAAAAATTGTGATTATTATAAATACCTTTTATAACTTTATTATGAGTATTAAATGGATTGCAGCACCGTTTTAATTTAGTTGCATAATGCTTCAAATAAACATGTTTATGATGTAGACAAGTTGTTGGTTTTACATTGATTATTGAGAGCCCAGTCCTCCACATTAATATTTCTTTTTCATACTCAGGAATATCTTCAAAAGGTTCGATTCCAAGCAACGATGTATATGTAGCAAGATGACATTCACTTCCTAGCTTGATTCTAATGGAGCACTGTTGGCTGTTTGCCATGACTAAGAAACTGAATTACTAAATTCTCTAATTATTTAATCTAAAAATTAAAATAATATTAAGTTTATGGTTACTGGTGTTTCAAAACTATATTTTTACAACATATTTGACATCACAAATCTATATTTATACATCACAGCAGGCATTGCACTTCACAAAATATTATTTATATATAAAAACCTACCTCAATAAACTCTTTTTACAAATCACAACTGAACCCATATATATATATATATATGAGTCTTGTGATCAGGAAACTTGTGAAAACCTTACCTCTTTTTATTGTAAAGTGCTTTTTTACCATTTAAAAAAAAAAAAAAAGTTATCTAAAATTTTAAATAAGGTAATTTTTTTTCTACTTTAGATTCAGCATCTTCAAAAATGGTCAGATACTAATTTACTTTTTAGGTATTTGGATTTATTGCTTACACAAAATATGTTTTTAAGGTAACTGACATTCGTGGCTTACAATATAACATGGAAGGCAACATCTACTGTAAGCTAAGGTTTACAGATGAGTGGCTGTTGCTACCGCAGCGTCGTGACAAGCTTATTACCACTAAGTGTATTAAACAGTTGCCTAATCTGTACCCCGAAAGATTGAAAATAAAAAACAGGAAATTTCAAGACCTTCAGGATTTTAAAACTACATTGCCTTCAGATTATCATGAATTTTATGACAATATTCCATATCATGCATAGCTATATTTAAACAAGATACTAATAATTTTCAGTCAGTTTCTTTGACTAAAACTTAAATTATTTATAATGGTTTTCAGATACCAATTTTCAGTCAGTTTCTTTGACTAAAACTTAAATTATTTACACCTAAACTATAACCAAAAAATCTATGAAAGAGAATTTGAGTCCAAATAAGGAACTTTTCTAGTATAAATTTCAAAATGATATATCATTATAATGCTTTAAGAAACCAAAACCATCTTTTTTATAAAGATAGCCTAGTATAACCTACTTTATTTGAAAAAAAAAATTGAATCCATGAGACTTAGGCAACTCCGTGAGTTGATGAAAGCGCATCCCATGGTAAAAGAACAAAAAATTGGACTGACCATTTTAAAATCAAAAAATAACCATCATAAAATTTAAATTTCACTATTTGCTTTACATTTTTGAATTCAGCACCCTCAAAAATGGTCAGGTACCCAATTTTAGCTTCATTTTTTAACTAGATCTTAAATTATACATTAAAAAGTACAACTACAAAATCCATAATGGCGGACTTGCCAAAAAAAGGAACGTTTTAGGCTGAATTTCAAAACGTCATAACTTTTAAACCGTTTGATTTTGGGAGCTCAAATTTTACAATTTTTCA